GTTAGAAAATGGCAACAAGGAACCTGCCTTGCACCTGAAGAGCCTGGCAGGGCTGGGAGGGACCCAGGGGAACTGAGCTCTACAGACCATCCCCCTCCCTGAGCCAGGCACAGGGAGGCACAGACTAATCATGCAGCAAATACTCAGCCACAGTTATGAATCTAAACAGAGTTTGGGTTTTGCCTTAAAAAAATACAGTTGTCTGAGGCGGGGTTTCAAAGTCAACATCAGAATGGGGAATGAGGCACCACGACCCTGTCAGGCAGCCTTCAAGGCATCCATCACACAATTCATGTTCAAACTGAAATTCTCTGCTCCTGATGCTTATCCAGCTCCCATCAAAGCCTAGGAAAAACCCCCTGCTACCACTAACAGCAGCTGGATCAGGCCCTACCTCCATAGGCAGCTGCACCACGGGCTGTTCCCACAGTGAGGGAAGAGAAATGCTGCCCCATAACCGCCCCAAGTGAGGGCTCACCACGTGGCTTTACCCCAATTGCATCACACAGCTTGTGGGGGAGAGGTTTGTGCTTGAGCCAGTCCCTGCCTGGGGAACTGACTGACTCACCAGAGCACAAACCACCAACCAGGATGGGAGATATGACCTGGGAGGTTGGACTGAGCACAAACTCAACCCTTGGTTTGGGCTAAAGCTACAGACTGGCCTCAGCTACCCAGAGAAAGGGGCAGCTGCACAGCCCCTGCTCCTCGCTCCTCTCTGGCTCCTGGAGTGTCAGAGCACGAGGAACAAGACCCTAAAGAGCTTCCACAATTCATTTGGTGTATTTTGTAATTATGGTTCTACCTTCAGCTCAAAACATCAAGAAAATGAAGCCAAGAATTTTCTCAAGGTGAGTGAAGAGTTGGGGTGCCTTAAATGCTGGCTCCTCAACTTGAGAGGCTGTGGAGAGGGAGCAAAGTTCTTAAGTAAAGGAGGGGGGTGAGGGACAGAGACAAACAATGAACAGCAATTCAAATAGAAAAATCATCAGGTTCTCTTCACCAGCTATCTAAAAAAAAAACAGAAATCCCCAGCAGCAGCTGAAGGTCTTGACCTCGTGTTACACAAGCAACCTCCCAGGGAGAGCATCTGTCTGTCTATCTGTCTGTGTGCTATTTGTAAGTCTCCCTGGTAAGAGCTGCTCATCTGGAGTGAGGTGGATGTCAGATCAGTGTGAATTTAGGCTGTGGGCTGGGCCAATGGCTTTGGGAACAACTCCACCTGAGCTCCAAAAAGCCCTGCAGAGCTTCAGGTTGGTAAGGAAGCATTGCTGGCTCCTACCACTTGCCGACTGTGCATCTGAAGAATTCAAGCACCCTTAAATGCCTTAAATGCTTCCACCAACATTCAAATGATTAAAAGCAGTCAACACTTTGTTGAAAACAACAAAAGCTCATTAGTTAGCATCAGAAGGCAATTAAATGTACCACAGATCAGGGTTAAGCACCTTGTGGAAAACAATACTGTGTGTGTGGGTGGTTTCAGAGAGTGAGTTTTGTCAAGGAGCCGTGAAACTGCACCTCTTTGCTCTCTCTCTTTCTGGCAGCAGTGCAAAGGGGAAATTATTATCAACAGGCCACAGGCTGAAAGACACATTAAGCAGCCCAGCTTACCAAGTCAGACTCGTCTCCATCCTCCTCCTCCTCCCCAGACTCTACAGACTCTTGTTCCTCCTCAGACTCGCCATCATCGATCTGCAACCACCATTTGCCCAAGAGCAGAACGGGTCAGTCAGGTCGGGTCTCTCAAAGTAGGGCATCCCCCACCATCCTGCTGTGCCCCCCACCCATCAGAGCATCCCTCACCATCCTGCTGTGCCCCCGATCCATCAGGGCATCCCCTCACCATCCTGATATGCCTCCCCCCAGCAGGGCATCCCCCACCATCCTGCTGTGCCCAGGAT